ATTTGGGGTTGATCGACCATTTTTCGGGGGTCGCCAAAGAAGGCGATCCGCCATTTTCTCCCCTCAGGGGGCGGCGCCGCGCATGCGCAGAACGTTTGTGTGGCGGGGGTCGCCGTCACACAAATGTTGAGAACCATTGGTATAGGATCTCCTGCTTGAGCAAAGGTTGGACTAGAAGATCTCCAAGGTCCCTTCCAGCTCTATTCTGATTGAGTGATTGATTCTGATTGAAGCCTTTTTTTGCACATCCACTAAGCATGATAAAATTTCTTGTTGTCCATGTTTCCAGCATAAATTTAGAGTACCTTTATACATTCTAGATAATTTTTCTTGATTTGATTGGCCAGGGAAGATGAGGTGGCAGTAGAAACAAAGCCTTATGTGAAAATGCCCTCAGATAATTTGGGAAGAAATCCATGGTACAAAAACAAGTAAGACACATTTCTGGAAGCAGCAAAGCATTTTTGCATTCCATACTGGAGAACTGTAAGTAAACAACCTTGGATCAAATATTTCTTGTCTGGGAGGTTCAAACTATAAAAACAACTTAAAACCAACGTTTACATACGTAAATCATCAGCAGATTTGGACTGCTGATATTATTTTGTCTTATTGGTTTAGGATTTTAAGTAATTAACACCATCATTGTTAATCTTCTATTCTTCTATTACTTTAAATTGGCCATGTCTTCAAACTTTTAAGTGACTGATCTTCATTAATCATACCTACATACTCTATCATTTATAAATATTATTTCTGCAGAATTCTCCTAGCTTTTCCATTTTTTAAAATCGAAGTGATATCTCTTCATTTATCACAGCAGGACACTGATTTGTTACCACCCAAAATATTAAACCTCTTTCCAGGTTAATGATTTGAGTTTAAATTTTATTATGTGTTTCCTTATTAATATTCTGCCTTTATTCTAGTACATGAAGCTCAATCACCTTCAGTTTTACCCCCATGAGATCCAGTCTAGATCTTAAGCTGAGCTGAGAAATAGTGCCTGGCCACAATTACTAAATATTTTTAAGTTTATACTGTGTGTTCCTGGTTGTAGTTCAAGACTAACCACTAAACCACACATCTTTGATAATCTCAGTTCCCCATATTTACACACTGTACTTTTTCTAAAGGACATTTGTGATTTGATAAAATTCTTGTCACAACAACTGCAGAAAATAAGTAATTGTCCCTAATTGAGATATTTAAGTTTTTATATTAGATTTGCCTTAGAGATGGCCATTTGTTCAGTTTAGATCGTCCTCAGATCAGGAATTGGTGTGCTGCTGTTCAACTAATAGCAATAGCACTTAGACTTATATACTGCCTCACAGTGCTTCATAGCCCTCTCTAAGCAGTTTACAGAGTCAGCATATTGCCCCCAACAATCTGGGTCCTCATTTTACTGACCTCAGAAGGATGGAAGGCTGAGGCAACCTTGACTTGGTCAGGATCAAATTCCTGGCAGTGGGCAGAATTAGCATGCAATACTGCATTCTAACCACTGGACCACAACAGATAATGTCAAAGGTAAGGAATGGCCACTGTGACTTTTGATTTGGTGGCAAGGCCCATTCCATTCCTTTTTGCCTACTTGAAATGGTTTCTTTAAAAAGGGAATCCCATTTGAACTCAGTCAGAAGTGCCAGGTTTTGCTTTCTATATTACTGGCTCTTCTGGATGACAAACAAAACAAAACAAAACACCTTCTCTTAAATAACCATCTGTTCATTCACCTTACAAGCTACCCAGAGAGCTGTTATCAGATCTTACATTTTAAAACCATAATACGCCTGATTTTTAAAAGGATCCCTTGGAAAGGAAAGGAAAAAATACATGGAAACTCAATTAGTGCTAGCATTTGACTCCTATAACACTGGCTCCTCTGGGTGAGGCCAAATGACAAAGCTAAGAGAGAAGAAATAATGCAATAATTACTGATGAGTTGTGATCCAGTCCTGGCAAAACTGCCTACTCTGCTTCCAGAGCTTGACCATTTGGTTTTACAGGTTGGATCAGCATCTGGGGCAAATGTGGGAAGGAAACTCTAATGTTTTCTCAGTTGCAGAAAGCATTAATGGGAATGCCATATAGAATAAAAATAAAATGTATGCTTAATTTGTTTGTATTTACACTAACAAAATACAAAAAAACTGAAAGATTTTAAAAATATGAAGAAGTAAGAATCTTGAGAAAATCTTGTATCTCTCAGGACACAATTACACTAAAAATATAATTTGGATACATATGTCCATATTGCTTTTAAGTTGTTTCAGATCTGTCTCGTTACAATCCTTTGCTTTCAAGTGGAGATCAGCCAATGAAATCTAGAGATGTAACAAATTCAGGAAGGAAAATATGGCCATATTTTTAATTTCAGTCTCTATGTGAGGGCTTTAGTGAACTTGCACATGAGCCTTAAAACCAGCCGGACTGAAACATAGTATTAGGCTATCTGTACAGTATTTTGTAACTGATCTCCCAAGAGTGGAAAGGTATAGCACCTATTTATGATGCTTTACGTAGCTGCACCTTTTCCTGGGATTACATAGGCAGCCACATAGTTTAGAGAAATGGTGTTGCTGCTTTAACCTGTGGCAGACTGTTATTCATTTTCAACATTCTATGACAGCTTCCCAGTCAGACTTCAATCCCTCACTCCCTTTCCCATCCAGAAGTGGCCATTTATTTGCCTGATGAAAAAGGAAGGAAGGAAGGAAGGAAGGAAGGAAGGAAGGAAGGAAGGAAGGAAGGAAGGAAGGAAGGAAGGAAGGAAGGAAGGAAGGAAGGAACATTTTCAATGTTCCCTGCCATATTCCCACAAGGAAGCTTAATGGGGAAGTTGGCAGGAAGTTGGAAATAACTTTTTTGCCCTTCCTTGATCATTCTGTTTTACTGTTTGCGTAAGGAAGTATCTTTGAAACAATGGCCCAATGGGGCATGTGTTGTCTAGAATACATACATATATATACGTACATACATACATACATACATACATATATACATGTAATTACAGCATTATGTTTGAATGAAAGTAGGTTAACTTTTCTTAATAGAAAGATTTCAGTCAGAATTGGAATAAAGCAGGCATTTGGTGTGAACTGTACACATTCATAAAAGAGTCAATGTAAGCTTTAGCTATCTGCCTATCTGTTGTAGGTAAAGACAATTTTTGTTCCAATCCAGAGAAAATGAATAAAATACTCTGCAGGCCTGCTGAATTTTATTTCTCCTGGGTAAAGATCTTAGATTATAGCAAGATGGACTTGCTATATGTAATTAGAACCTGTTTTAACATGCTTAATATTTGTTTAATGGCAGAAGAAGAAGGAAAAAAAATCAGTGGTGGCTTCCAGGCAGAGCTAAATCTCTCCATCTCTTCATTGACCCTATAAGAACCCTGGGGACCTTGGATGCTACATTGCTTCCAGAGCCTAGATCTTAAAATCCAATAAAATGTTTTTAAAAGGGCTTTTACAGTTAGTATATCTGATTTGTTTCCAGCCTTCTTAAAAATGAAAATGTTACAGAACTGTATGTAACTGTTTTCCACTGGAAAAAAGGCTTACAAAAATCTGTGAAATTTGATAATCATTCAAGAATTTTTTAAATATGTCAAAATGCTTCCTGTTCTCTTAATCATCACTAAAAACTTCCTCTTTTGGGCACAGATGTTTGTTGTTCTCAAGAAGTAAATGTCTCAACTTGAAAATGCAATGTTTGGGCAGCATTGTCTATTGCCATGTCATTTTTTTTCCTTTGGGTAAGTTTTTTTGGGGTATGATGTTTTAAGCAATTTTCTATTCAGAATAGGCACTTCTATCTGAAGAAATCAATAATTTGCAAGATGCTCCCTTTGACTGTTAGTACCTTAAATGTGTATGACTAGAATGTCAACATTAGCAAATATATGTCGGATTACAGGACTATACAGTAAAACAGGGTACCTAAATGAGAAAATATAAGGTGTCTCTAAGAATGAAGTAACTTGGAAATTACTTTGGAAAATCAGTCACATCTTCTATTTCTTCTGTGCTACAAATTTTAATATGTAATATCAATATACATTCAAGCAGTGCTTTTTTTCTATAAAAGAAAGGTGCCGGAACTCACACATGTCATACAACCCGCCTTGCCTACCCTACAAGGTTCCATCCAAAAAAGGTGCCGGAACTCCGTTCTGGGGATTCTATGAGAAAAAAAAGCCCTGCATTCAAGAAATATAAGAGGCAAAATCATCCAGTAAAGCCTGAGAATAGCCTTACAATTAGAAAGTGTCAACATGCAGCCTTAGAAGCTTTTGATCGTTGTGAGCTATCTAGAGTCATTGAGATTCAGGTGGCATACAAATATAACAAATTAGTGTTGTTGTTGTTGTTATTTTTATTTGTGGCAGGGCTTTTATAGCTGTCCCCAGATTGACCCAAGAAAGATGGAGAGGACTCCACCTTGCTCTTATTTACTGCTTGCTTATTTATAGTAAAACTGTTTAGTTTAATCATCGGGTTAAATTATTATAACATTAAGATAAAATACACAGATAGAATAGAATATTTGTAGCTCAGAATTTAACTGTAGGGTACAGCTTAGAGAGCATCAAGGACCCCATAAAACAGACCCTTCCACACCCACATACATAACCCAGGGTTTGTGGTAAAAGCTAGAGAAATGAGAATACTGGTGCAAAGTGCAAGTGAAAGCAAGGGGGGAAAAGGTGCTAGGGGTATGAGTGCTCAGGGTTTAAATTTAGCTGAGCAAGAGCAAAGGATGAAGTGCAAGAAAATCTGAAGTGGAGTGCATGCAAACCCAAGGACCCTGCTTCACAAAAACAAGGTTTAACTGAGACACAGACCAGGTCTGGAAACAAAGTTCAATTACTGAAGCAATGTGAAGAAACTAAAAGCAACCAGAGATTTACAAAGAGATTAAAAAGGCTACTGACAACAGAAAGGGGATTACATAAAGCTTTTTTCTCTGCTGAGCCTGCTTACAGCTTGGTTTTGAAGGAAGCAGCATGGCAGGCAAGTCCTACCTGTGAAGGAATCCACCCAAGGTGAAAGCTGCAGAGAAGGCTGTGGAGTGCCCAGAAGAAGATAGCTTAAGAACAGTTCCGGAGAGGAAGAAGTGATGAACAGCCACCTGGAATTAGATTGCGGCCAGTGAGGTGGAGGTGCCAGAGGAATTCAGAAAAGCTAAGATAAGAGAAGAGAAATTGTTCCATGAGACTTTTGCAAGACAACTCAGGTTGCTGAATTGTATGAATAGTTGTAAGGATTTCACTTGTGTTGGGGTTCAAAGAAGAGCCTACATGGGTGTTGAGTGATTGAAAGAGAGAAGACACTGCCTTCCACAACCAGGTTCCACAGGATTGGGGGAGGTATGGAGTCATTCCCACTGAATTAAGTAATCATTTGTAAAATTATTGTTATAGCTATGTAAAACTGATTATATATCTGCACTGTGGCTGCTTAATACAAGTAGAATTGTTCACAATCTTTAATTCCGAAAGCATTCAGAATTATCTACATATTCTCTGTAGATAACCAGAAGATCCAGGAGTTTTATTGATCAGAAGTTGGTCTGGGGAAATTCTGTCTTTGTAAATGACAGCAAATTGATAAAAATACACATGATGGGAACTAAAAGAGATTTTGTTATATTTCAGTTCTGGAATCCAGAACTGGTTTCTATGTAGCAACATACTGTATTAAGCACAGAATAAAATGAGTATGGGAAATAGTAAATCGAGGGCATGACTTATCAGCAAACAAGCAATAAATAAATAGAAAAGAACAAAAAAGCTGCACGGTATGACATTTCCTGATTTAAGATGATCAAACAAGGAATGGTTATATCACTTAAAGTTATCTCTGGTATCACTTATTTCTTATATGTAAGGCTTAGTGGCACTTTAGTTTAGTGATTTCAGTGCTGAGTAGTTAATAGCCTCTGAAGCTAATGCCTTCTGCCTTCTGCCTTCCACTGCATTTGTATAATGCTGTCAAGGAGTTGTCTATAAACATCTTTAGAATAACCTTGGCACTTCATGGCATCTAAATTGATTGGGAATTCCAGGACCATGAAGGAAGTAACTCTGCGTGGTGCCCTAGATTCAAAATGTAATTTTATAGGATAAGGTCAGCAACAGCAATTGAGAAAAACCAAATTTTGCCATCTCCACATGTGACTCAGCATTGCGTTATACTTTGAACCAATTAGCTGGCAGTTGTCAGACCAACTGATTGACTCAGTGAATGACTAATATTGCTTAACTCGGGTTGTCCTGAATTAACTGGTAAAGATGATATTTCATGCATTTTTTAAAAAAAGTTAAAATTAAATGAAAGAAAAGAAAATGTTTGAAGACTTACAAAACAGAGTCTGCAAATCAGCACAGGCCAAGGAGCTTTAGCTGTCAAAAGTAACCTACGGACTACTTTTTTATACAATGCCTTATGTAGAAAAATATAACTATTTGGTTTATTAATGATTTTATATCTCAATTTTGTCTTTATTCAAACTTTCAAAACAGCATACAGTAAATGTTTTAGAACAAAACAAACTCAATACAAGCAAAATCCAAATAAAACAGTCATCAAATCCATCAACAGTTCAAAGCTTGACTAAGCAAACATGTTTTTGGCATCTTCATAGATCCTGAAGAATGGGGAAATAAATCTAATTCCTTAGAAAACGCTTTAATTCCATTAGAGGAAAAGCTTCTGCCATACTACGACATTCTATGTTCTTATATACAGTACCTGCCAAATTACACTCCACGTTTACAGTATACAAATAATTCATTGGTCTGTGAGGTGTTCTGCTTTTTTCTTCCATATTTGAAACTGGCATGGGAGTTAAATTCACATGTAAAATTGGTGTGTTGAATTGTACTAAAACCATGTACGAGACCTTCCATTTCATTCATGGAGTGGCTATCTAGCTATTTGGAGAGGACAATCCAATCATGACTTTCAGGATGCAATGCCAGGCATATTTTGTTTCCCTGAGAAAGAGTTAATCACTTTATTTCTACCTCAGGGCTAATGAGAGAATTTGCTGGATGAACTGTTCTTTTATAAATCAAAAACTTTGGTATAGAGAACAGGAATCTGGTGAGGAACAGGTCTGAAGCATTGTTTGGCAAAATTTATTTTGTATATTTAAACTTTTAAATAGCTGTTAATCATAAGTGGCATTAAATAAATAACACTAGTTCTGAATAACAGCTATTTAATATAATATAAATACATAAATACATAAAATTAATTAAAATTAACCAATTAAGTATAATAATCAACTGCCAACCAAAAACATGGGATTTTTTTTTTTGTTTGAACTAGAGTTAAACTTCTTCTTTCTGTCCCACTATGTCCAAGGCATTTAAAGTCTTTTTATGTTATTTCAGGGCCTAACTTAGCTATCATTCCTCTCAACGTCATTCTTCTAAAATAGGTCACTTCATCCTGTTGCCTAATTGGGCTTGTCTTTCTTATTTCCTTACATAATGATTTTCACCATGGTGCTTATTTTGGATAGTAAAAACAATATATTATCTAATCATATTGTTATATCTTTCACAACCTATTTGCAATCTTCAAGTCAGCTGGGAGTTAAAATTGTGTAAGAAGACTTGACTTGTCAGAGGCAAAAGTAAGGAACTGAATAAAAAATTACATATCCTTACTACCAAATTGGGCAAAGATTTGGGTTTATAGATTTGATTCCAAGGTGATCCAATTGAATTAACTGTATGAATTGGACTATTGGTTCAGACTGAATGGTCAGTCAAGGTGGTTGCCTCCAAACTGAATCAAAGCCTTTTGCTCATATTTCAAAACTTCAATTCCCCCACTGATTCAACTTTCTAATTAGTTTTGCTTTATTAAATTATTTAGACTTGAAATCCAAATTGTATTAATGAGTTGAATAAAATCACTTTTAATAATACAAATTGAATGGATGATTCAAACTGGATCAATCCAAACTGAATTGATTCATATTGGATCTGATCCAATGTGTACATCCCTACTTTGAATAGCCTGCTAGTAGGTCTTTTTGTCATCAGGATTAATGTAGCAATTATATCAACTGGTTCTGTGAGTTGTAAGTGGTAACACTCTTCTATCTGTAAGATTTTCCAAATAAACTATTATAATATATCTAGAGCTGCAATCTTATGCATATATGCCAGAGAAACCCTTCTCCTGAGTATAATTAAAATGTGCCTCTAATAGAAGAATGCAGTGTTTGGACTATATTGTATAAAGATTCCCGTAACTGTACAGCATCTCATATAACAAGATGATGCAAATTAGGTAAGTTGCTACATCTTTATAGAAGGAAGTTCTGAAAGTTGCACCTGCAGAAATCACACCACTCCCTCATTTGCTAGATGTCAGATACTTAGACAGGATTTGGCATTTTTATACATCTTTTGAGTCCTTCCTAAGTAGATTTTGTTTTTCATGGTGTTAAATTATTATTGTATTTAGACAAAAATGTGAAATCACAACTATCAGTTCTTTACTGGTATTGGTTTTCTCAAGAATCTAGTTTGTTGTAATGCATTGACATAATAAAAGTATGGATTCAAGCAATGTGGACTTTTGTAATTGACAGAGAAAGTTTTTGTTAATGAACATATTTTCTAAGTGCTGTCGAAGATTTTTTGAAATGGCACCAGTGTGCTGATAATCACTGAGATCACCACAGACAGTTAATGCCATATTCTTTCAGTTTTGATTTCCAGATCCTGATACTTTCTGATCTTCTCCAATTTTTAATTCCAATTCTTAATTATTCTTATTAATTAATTAATTATTCCTATCCAATCCATCATCATCATCATCATCATTATGGTTAGTTGCATAGACAGCCAAATATTTAGATTGGATTTGGCAAGTCTATCCATATATCAAGTCCTTCCCAAGAACCTGAGATAGGCAGATATTGCTGTTTCATGGTATTAAAATTATCATTGCAGGATGTGTGCTGAAGGTGATATTGGAGAATTGTATCCACAGTGCCTATTACTATTGGTACTATCTTTGCTTTCCTTTGTCACAGTCATTCTATTTCTATTTGCAGATCCTTATATTTTGTCATTTTCTCCAGTTCTTTCTCTTCTCTTCTGTTGTATCCAGGTGCTACCAAATTTGCGAATCATTATTGATATTAAGTCTGATGTGTTATGTGGCAGATACCTGTTTGTTGAATTCTAAAATTCCAGATAATTTTAGTTTCATTTTCTAATATTTATTGTTGTTGGTGGTGGTTCTGGTTACAGTAGAAAATCTATGGTTTGGACATGGAAATTCTAATTTCAAAACCTCACTTCGATATGCAGAAAAATTAGTTGTGGATGTTTTCATCTATTATTTTTACAGAGCTTGATGATAACATGCTTTAAATGGGGGGACGGGGAATACATATGAAGCAAACAAGGATATATTAGTTTAAGAGAAATAAAAAAGTAACACTGAATTACAAAGTATAATTTCCTGTGTTGAATATTATGTTAAATCTTCAGTGTGATTTTAGCCGTAAATGTTGGAGTTTCAAGCAATTTACACTATATTTATCTTCACAAATATTCCTTTCCTCCACATAAATTAATTTAAGACATAGTGAATTTCAAATTACTCACTGAAATTAAGGAATCTGCAGCTACATATTGGTAGTTTAATTTTGCCTGTTCTAGTAAACATTGCCTACAAGAAAATGGTAGCTCGTTTGTTAACAGATGCATTCAGGCAGTCATTTGTTATGGTGGGGTGGAGGAAGATTTCTGAAGTCCATACAAATACCCACACAAAGTATGTACTTTAATGTTCTTAATATGCATAGCAAATAGTGGGAATATTGATAGATAGATAGATATAGATACTGAAGCAAATCAAGCACCTCTCCCTTTTCTGAAACTTTTCAATTCTGCAGCAGTAAGTTAGAGATTCCTTTAGAGACTATTTGAAGCCACACAGAAAGGAAAAGGAGAATAAAGTCGTACTGAATGAGCACATATTATTTTGCTCATTTTGTCCATATACAATCATTCATTTTATACAATCATTTCTAATGCTAAACAATAATGATGACTTCTTTTTGTATCAATAAGAAAGAAAACTAGAGATGTTTACGGACCACATTTGGAATACTGCATCCAGTTTTGTTCGCCATGATATAAAAAAGATATTGAGACTCTAGAAAAAGTGCGGAGAAGAGATTATTAGGGGACTGGAGGTTAAAACATATGACAAACGGTTGCAGGAATTGGGTATGTCTAGTTTAATGAAAAGAAGGATTATGGGTGATAGCAGTGTTCCAATATTTAAGGAGTTGCCACAAAGAGTTGCCACATTATATTGGAAATACAAT